GATGAGGTCAGGCAGAAGTCTGCCTGGACTACTGTGTTTGCAGATTGCATTATGATTTGTAGTAAGAGTAGGGAGCAGATGGATGAGAGCCTGGAGAGGTGGAGGTACACTCTGAAGAGAAGAGGAATCAGTCAGTGTACCTGAAGGGAGGGAGGGAGACAGGTGTAACAGTGAAGCTGCAGGGAGTAGAGGCACTGAAGGTGGATGGTGGAAACCTGGGATCAACTAGGTAGGCGCGGTGGAGCGGATGGAGACGAGTGTCAGGGGTGATATGTGGCAGAAGGATAGCAGCAAGAGTGAAAGAGAAGGTGTACAAGATGTTAGTGAGAGCTGCTCTGATGTATGGTTTGGGGACGGTGGTACTGACAAAAAGACAGGAAGTGCAGCTGAAGATGTTCAGATGTTCAGAATGGACAGAAATCGAAATAACAGTGAGGAACAGCTCAGGTTGAGCGGTTTGGAGACAAAGTTAGAGAGACCAGGCTGAGAGGGTTTGGACCTGTGCAGAGGAGGACATGTGGATATACTGGAGAAAGGATGTTAAAAATGGAGCTACCAGGCAGGAGGAAAAGAGGAAGACCACAGAGAAGTTTCATGGATGTAGTGACTGAGGACATGCAGAGGGTTAGTGTGACACAGGAGGATGCTCGAGACAGGGTGAGGTGAAGGCAAATGATCTGCTGTGTTGACTCTTTAAGTAAACAGCCTAAAAAAAAGAAAGAATTTAAATTATGAAAGAATTTAAATTATGAAAGAATTTAGCAGAAATGGTGCTTAGAAGCAAATTTCCAGGAGAAAAAGAAAGAATTTTCAAATCTTATTTGTTATTTCCATTTTAAAATCAGATTCAGTATAAATGCAGTTTTGAGGTCAGAGTTCAAGAGTTTAAAGATTTATCCATTAAACACGAGGAGACTAATTGTTTCCCACAAGCCAAAAGATGAGTATATAAATGGACAAGTACCGTACCGTTTTATCCATGGTGCCCACTTTCCACATTTCATTACAGTGATTTTTTATTTAAAGTAATTCTAACCAAAACATAAAGGTCAAAGGACAAATCAGGAGATTGTAAACTAGGATAGAAAACAAATGTAATCTATATCTGCTGTATTTCTAGTTTATTTATTTTTTTTAAATATATTTTTGGATTTACCCAATCTTTCTCTTTTAACTGAGATATATATTTGAGTGGAACTTCGTGCAAGTAAAGCTGTTAAACACGTGAAAACACTGACTTTTCAGGACAGAATGAGTAGCCTGATTCAGAAAAAAACATCAGAGAGGGACCGTGAACATATTTACCTTTTTTTGCCCCTCGGAAATAATAAATATGTTATTATAAAGTTGCTCTGTGGGGGAAAATGAGCCGTGACTGAACAAAATGAACGCTTCAAAGAGGTTTATATTAAAGACAAACTCGAGCTTTTCCGCCTCCCTTCCTGCTGTTTCTGTGAAGCTTGACGACCTCCAATCGTTTTCTCTCCTCGTGAAGACGCTGTCTCTTAAAGAAACACGCTCTTACCGGCTTTCACGTTTTTAAACCTCCCATCCTCACATCCCCACATTTCTTTCCAGCTGCCTCTCCTCGCCTTTTCTCCGTGCTTATCCGCAGAACAAAGGCAGACCAATCTGAGCTGTTATGTGGGTGAATACTTTCCAATTTATCCTCTTTGTGTAATAGATAAAACTTGCAGGCACAATGGTACAATTGCACCCTCTAGTGTCTGAAATGGAGAAATTCAGTACACCAGTAGCATAAGGTTTCAGGCTAAATGTCTGGAATTTAGGCAAACATCATCATATCTGTTTAACTGGAGGTTTTTAAAAGGTCGCAGTCAGCAATGAACAACTTCAAAATGAACAAAGTTGAACTTTTGCGAAGTCAGACATTAGAAAGGAATCTGGGGCTTATTGTGGGGGAACTTTTTTTCTTCAGTCTAATTAAATAGAAAAAAATGTATACATTTCTTCTTTTATGTGATTGGTCGGAAAATGTGAAGATGTATCTATGAAAATTTCTCAGTTACTTCACCAATAGGAGCTCTGGGGAGGCGGGTTTTAAGCCCCTGGGTATTGGGGTGGGGGGGTTGCCGGGGTGACGTAATGTCCTCTCCAGAGAGCCACCAGTGCTCTAAATTAAATAGTTTTGAGATGCGGAGGGGGGGGGGGATAAAGAAATGATGGAAAATAATAGAAAAAATGAAAAGAAAGAAAAAGAAAAGCCAGAAGAAGTCTTTGTAATACTGAAAAGAAATGTTATGTGATCTACTTTCTTAAAGATTTTGGTGTTGGTACAATTTAATGGCCCAAGGTTGTATAGTATACCAGATAATACCTTTTACTAGACACACCTTGCTAGTTGTAGTTGGATATTATTGCCTTAATTCTACATGACACAAATCAAAACAGCTGCTGGAAACATTCCTCTGAAATTCTGGTCCATAGTGACATGATCACATCGCACAGTTGTTGATTTAATCCCAAGCTCTCATTCCACCACATGCCAGAGGTGCTCTATTGGACTCAGAGCTTGTGACCTTGGAGGTCATCTGAATACAGTGAACTCAGTGTCATGTTTTTTGAAGGATGCCAAGTTGGTACTAAAGGGCCCACACCATTTCATCTCCACCAACAGCATGAACTGTTGAAACAAAGCAGGAGGGATTGATGCTTTCATGTTGTTAAATTCTGTCACAGCATCAAAACTCAGACCAGGAAGTGTGAATTGTAGCCTCAGTTTATTGTTAGCTGTCAGGAGTGGCACACAGTGTGCTCTTCTGCTTCAAGATTTACTGTTTTGTGTGTTCAGAGATGCTGCATGGTTGTAAAGAGCAGTTATTTGACTTACTGTTGCCTTCCCATCAGCTTGACACAAACTGGCTAATCTCCTCTGCCATTAATAAAACATTTTCATCCAGTATACTACACTAGATTGGCTCTCTTTCAGACCATTCTCTGTAAACCCTGGAGGTGGTTGTGTGGGTAAATTCCAGTAGAGAAGTGACACACTCAGACCAGCTCGTCTGGTACCAACTACCATGCCATATCCAAAGGCACCAATCCACCTTTCAGTTTGAACCTCAGCAGGTCATCTTGACCATGTCGGCACGCCTGAATGCACTGAGCTGCTGCCATGTGAGTGGACTGTGAGTGTATTTTAATGAATATAAGCCAGGTTGAGAATGTTGTACAGCCACAAAATGTCCAAAAACGATGGAAAATAAATATATAATGTGTTTTGTTCCCTTTTTTTCACATCTGCAGCTGAGTTAACAGATTACTATACATCACTTCAAAAATCAGAAATGATACTTGCAAAATATTCAGTTAATCTATTTATTCACATTAAAATTTGACAGTCTTTGCGAATAATGATGAAATGCACTCATGAGTTAAGGTCTGCAAAAAGTAATTTGTCCATTTCAAATCGACAGAGAGACAAAAGCTAAATAATAAGCTTCCTAGTTTACGGAATAACAGAGTTGATTAAATATGAGCTGCAAATACATGAGATGTTGCCTGGAATGACAACTCTGTGTGACTCATTTGGGATTTTCATACAAAGAGACAAGAGAGGAAGGGACAAGCAGCCTGGCATTGTGATTTGGCAACACTACATGAAAAAGGTTTATTACTAAAAAGCTCAGAACAGCAGCTGGAGGAGGAGGAGGAGGCACCATTTACAGAATTACAATGTCTGCTCCTCTTTAAGGGATTGAACAAGTCAGAGTAGTCATGATGGATGTGAGCAGAAGTACTCAAATCTTTTATATAACTACAACTATCAACACACCTATTGGGAATCATAGTTCATTAAAAGTAAGTCTCGATATTAAATTTGATTAAAGGCGGTGGTGGAGGATGTGCTCAGATCCTTTCTTCATTACAAATAAAAGCCCTGCAGGAAATTATTTATTTTATAAGAGCATATAATAAGATATAATCCCTCCCCCAAATTAATAACAGCCAATTAAAATGGACATAAAATGACTCTATGTATTTGCAAAATATATTTTATCAGTTGACCACGGGACAGTTTAATCGATTCACCTCTGCTTTTATATTCTAATTAGCAAATGTACTGTCTATTTTAATTTATCTTGTTTTGTATGGAAAAAAATCTGAAATTTAGAGTAGAAAAGTAGAACTGGAGCTGTCAAATAAGTGTAAAGGGATAAATAATACAGTGGAGGAAATAATTATTTGATCCAGAGCAAAAATGAACAGTCTCTAATTTTTCTGTTAGTTTCATTTTAATCTAGAAA